GTGATCTTTTAGAGTTTGGAAATCTTTAAGTTATTTTTATGAGGAATAAGAATTATTAGCAATTAGCATAAACATCCATTGATTTTGTTACTATAAGCAATGTAGTTCTTAAAGACGAGGATCATTTGCAATGTGGTATTTGAACTAGTTCTTCTTGCATTTGAAGATGTAACAGTTTTGATAATGAATATAGATTGTGAATGGTTAAGTATCTTTTGACTACTTTTTCATTTGAATCTGAGGATCTTTTAGAGATGGGAAGAATATTTGAGCTATTTTTATGAAGAATAAAAATTGCTAGCAAAAACATTCATTGATTTTGTAATAATAAGCAAGGCAAGTCTGAATGATGAGGTTCTTTCGTGATGTGGTATATGTTCAAGTTCTTCTCGTGTTTGGAGATATAACAAGTTAGGTCTAGGTTTTCTTGATTCTCTACTTAATGCTAATTATATTTTGGATATCAATGCTAGAAGTTTTATTGGCAATGGTGTTGGAGATCTGCATTAGCCCAGAGATTTACTTCCTGATTAAATTGTGAATTTCATGTCTAAAATTTCTATTGGTATGATTGAAGAGGAAGATAATTTATCAATTAAACTTTTATCATAGAATAAATGTAATATGAAAGAAGTTTGGTTGAAGATTATACCCTCTCTTATGATCTTTGTCTCATTTTGAAATTGATATGGCATCAAGCTTTCCATATTCTTGTCCATTGTTTTACTGGAAAGTTTTAAAAAGGGTTCATCTTAGTTGATGCTCGGCTTAAACAAAAAGGATTTTTTTTCTTCCTTCAAAATGCTAATGTTAGTTTCATGAGGAGGATTTTCTCATGATGTTTTCATCAATGGTGATTTAGCTATCTAAGTTTTAATTTGGGATAATTTTCTTATTATTTTCTAAAATAGTGTTAAGTACAAAAATTTCTTGAAAGCAAAAGAAATATAATAATCAAAAGCGATATCAAACGAAACCTAAATTTGGATTTGATGTGATGATCTTTTAATAGTGCTTATTTTAGTATTTCTTGTTAATTATTAGGTCTAATCAGCCTATGGTTGTGAAGGTGAAAATTCCTTCAAGGCAGAAGCATCAAATAGTAACAACAAAAAGGTTAATAAATTGAATTTAGTACATTAAAAAAAATTATATTAGATGGATTAATATTTTTGGCCAATAAAAATATATATTAATGATCGATGTTGGAATTCTGAATTAACATACATCATGATAGTGTTGGGAAGATCATAAAGTTGTGGAGAGGATCCTTACATTCTGAATTGATCAACATACCTACCAAAATCAGTTCACTGTCATAGCATATAGAATATCGGTGGGTAGGTGTTCTACTTTATGCTTACTAAGTATAAAATTTTATAGGTCATTTTTATCTTGATAAAGTTCATGATTAGTACTCAAACACTTGAAAACTTTAGGATATATTATATTGATTAAATAAACTTCTAGCATGTTGAGTATTTTAATCATAATAGACATAATTAATTATAATAATAAACTTTAGTTTACTTATCGACGAAGTTAGAAGGAAATGTATATGCATAGAGAGTTCAAGAAATTATAAAGAATAAGAAACCATTATTCTTGAAGGTTGCTTCAGAAGAAGGAGAGAAAGAAGATAGTGAAATCTGATAAGCTAGCTGAAAAGTAAAGAGCTGATAAGCATGCCGCCTAAATAAGCTCTTTCTCTTATATGCAGGTAATGCAATGCCCACTCGTCTGTGGCATCAGGAACAGTGTCAGAGCACTCATGCTTAACTGTTAATCACTAACGGCTTGCATCATGACCGTTGCTGTCATGGTCATCTTCTCCGCTTGAGTTAATATAAATGAATGTATTAGCTACAGTTCAAGGCAATGAAGAAATGAGCTCTTAGCATATACTGTTTTATCATCTTGCTTCTTCTTCTATACTCTGTTTCTCTGTTCACTGTTCTTTTGCAGGTTACAGATAAGAAGGAAGTTCTTTATGGTATCAGAGCGCTACATCTCTGCCTCATTACGTCTTGTTTTTTATTGAATCTGAATCTGAAATGGAGTCTTCACCTGTTTCTTCTACCTCGGTTCAAGCCACTTCAGTTGTTAAAATGGTGGATATTCCTATACCACCTCAATTAAAGTTTCTAATGACTAATGTGAAAGCTGTTCTTAGCATTCAGCTATCCGCAGAAAATTACCCCCTCTTGAAATCTCAGGTGTTTAAACTCTTTCTAGCTAATGGATTTGACGGTTACTTAGATGGCTCAACTCCAAAACCAGTTCGTATGATCAAGTCTACCGCCGGCGAGCTTCAACTGAATACGGAGTACAGTACCTGGTTGTTAATTGATCAAAACTTAGCTGCAGTTCTTTAGTCAACGATTTCTACCACTTTTCTTCTGTATGTTCTGGAGCTTACATCGTGTTTTGAGATTTGGCAAACGATTGAAAGAAGGCTTCAGTCAACTAATCGTTCGCGAATATTACAGCTTAAAAATGAGTTAAACACCGTGAATATGAAGGACAAATACATGGTGCAATTTCTGTCTGAAATTAAAAGTAAAGTTGATGCTATTGGGGCTTCTGGTTCTCTCTTACCCGAGGAAGATATAATCATGTATACCTTGAATGGTTTACCGAGCATGTACCAGGCTTTTAAAACTGCTATAAGAACAAATCTAAACCCCATAAGTTTAGATGATTTTTACTCACTTTTATGTAGTGAAGAGCTGAATCTAGCAGCTGAATCTATTCGAGAGCTTTCCCTGTCCTCTACCCCTGATAACATTCCTGCAATGTATGCTCAGCGCGGTCGTACTCGCGGTCGTTTCTCTCGCGGACGATTCTCTCGAGCTTCTCGAGGTAGGGGAACATCTGGACGATCGTCCTCCAACTTTACCAACCCTGTTGAATGCCAGATTTGTGCTAAACCTGGTCATTCAGCCTACAAGTGTTGGTATCGTGCTGATTTTTCGTTACCGCCTCCTGTTCAAGCAAATACTGTTGTCACCTCTCCATCTGCGCCTGAGTGGATTCTAGACACAGGAGCGACGTCTCATTTGACGTCCGACCCACAGCAGCTTCAAAATGCTCTACCATACAGTGGAAATCAGCAAGTGATGATTGGCAATGGCGATTTACTTCCCATTACTCACACCGGTAAAGGTTTACTACCTACACCTTCTAGTAAGCTTTCCCTCAATTCCATTCACTTAGTTCCCAATCTTCATCATAATCTTCTTTCTATAAATAAATTGGTCACTGATAATGCGTGTTCTGTTATTTTTCATCGTTCGGGTTATACTATCAAGGACCTGAAGACCCATCAAACTCTTCTTCAAGGCCCAGCTCGTCGCGGACTCTACCCAATCTCTACTAATGCTCCATCTACAGCTACCACTAAAGCTCTCATCGCTCTACCCTCCACAATTCAGTTATGGCATCGTCGTTTAGGCCATCCTTCGCATCCTGTTTTGCTCAAGCTGAAAAAGCTGTTAAGTCCTATGTCTACTTCTAGTTTCTCTAAGTTAAATTGTAATGCTTGTGCTATATCTAAAAGCCACAAGCTTCCCTTCTCTCTTTCTACTTCTCGTTCTACTAAAGTACTTCAGTTGATACATAGTGATGTATGGGGACCATCTCCCACAGTATCTTTACAAGGATATAAATACTATGTGATTTTTATTGATGATTATTCTCGTTTCACTTGGTTATATCCATTGCGTTCCAAATCTGATGTGTTTTCAATATTTTGCCAATTTCAGAAATTAGTTGAACGTCAATTTGATACAAAAATTAAATGTTTTAGATCAGATGGCTGTGGTGAATATTTTTCTAAACAATTTCAACTAATTCTCTCAAAATCCGGCATTGTTCATCAACATACTTGTCCATATACACCTGAACAGAATGGTGTTGCTGAACGAATACACCGTCATATTGTTGAAACTGCTCGTGCACTTCTTTTTGAGTCCAATTTACCTCAACAATTCTGGCTACATGCTTTTCACACTGTTGTTCATCTCATCAACATTCTACCGTCCATTTCCAACAAGCTAACCTCACCTTTTCAAATGTTATACAAATCATCACCGGACTATCTGGCTTTATGTTCCTTTGGTTGTCTGTGCTATCCCTTCTTACCTTCCCAAACAATTTCCAAACTTCACCCGAAATCTTTGCCTTGCGTCTTTATCGGGTACTCCGACACTGCCAAAGGCTATCTCTGTTTTCATATTCCATCTGGCAAGATTTTTCTTTCTCGCCATGTTAAATTCATTGAATTTGTCTTTCCTTTCTTCTATGAAAAATCTGTCCTAGCTTCTCAGCTACCCGTTCAACATGTTTCTACATTATCTCTTATTCCAACCATAGTTCAATCATCCAGTTCACATAAGCCATCTGTTACACCCAATATACCTAATTCTATGCTCAATCAACATATCTCACCTTCCTTGTCTTTACACGGTTCCCCTTCTCTTACAAATTCTTCTTCTAGTCCTCAAATAATGTCCAGCTCTCCTTCTCCTTTAAAACATATTCCCCATCCTATGCTTACAAGGTTTAAAACCAGGAATTTAAAGCCACGCCACATTACCAGCCTGCATCACTTACTAGTCTCTGCAGATCCGACATGTTATTCTCAGGCCGTTAAAAATTCTGCTTGGCGACAAGCAATGTCGCAGGAATTTGATGCTTTATTGCAACAAAACACATGGAAGCTTGTTCCATCTAATCCTGAACAGCATGTCTTGGGCTGTAAATGGATTTATAAAACCAAATTGCATTCAAATGGCACTATAGCTAGACATAAAGCTCGACTTGTAGCTCAAGGTTGTAATCAACAATATGGTCTGGACTATGAAGAAACATTTAGCCCAGTTGCTAAACTACCTACTATTCGGGTTCTACTCAAAGTTGCGGTTACCTTTCAATGGCAAATCTTATAACTCGATGTTTCAAATGCGTTCCTTCATTGAACATTGCAAGAAACTGTGTTTATGAAACAACCGCCTGGATTTATTGATCCATTGTACCCGGATCATGTGTGTCTTCTTCAAAAATCCATTTATGGGTTGAAACAATCACCACGAAAATGGTTTGAAACCTTTTCAAATTATTTGTTAACTTATGGATTTAGACACAGTTCGGCTGATTCCTCCTTGCTAATATTTCACAAGAACTCAGTTAGTCTCTACATTCTTGTTTATGTAGATGATATATTACTGACCGGCAATCATGAGCAGACCATTCAGGATCTTCTTATGGGGCTTTTGACTCAATTCCGGATGAAGAATTTAGGCCGAATTTCCTACTTCTTAGGCATGCAGATTTCTTCCTTCTCTAATGGGCTTCATTTATGTCAATCTAAATATGCAATTGAGATTCTAAACCGAGCGGGTATGATTGATTGTAAACCCATTTCTTCTCCTGCGTCATCTAAATTTCAATCCACCTATGTTTCTGAACTGTCCGCAGTTCAGTCCAACAATTTCCGCCATCTTGTAGGTGCATTGCAATATTTGACTATTACACGTCCTGATATAGCTTTCACGGTAAATAAACTCTGCCAATATATGCATCGGCCTCTTGAAGATCATTTTCTTATGCTCAAACGGCTTCTACGCTATGTTAAAGGTACCATATCATATGGATTGCCAATCTTACCTAGTTCACTTGAACTATCTGCTTTTTCCGATTCTGATTGGGCGGGTGATCCCGTTGATCGTAAGTCAACTTCTGGTTATTGTACATTTCTTGGTACCTCACTTATATCTTGGCAAGTTAAGAAACAGAAGACTGTTGCTCGATCTTCCACTGAAGCCGAGTACCGTGCTCTTGCTACGGCCACTACTAACATTATTTGGCTCAGACGTTTGCTAGAGGAATTCCAACTTGATCTTTCACAACCTACTCAGCTCTTTTGTGATAATATTTCTGCTATGGCCATTGCTACCAATCCTATCTTTCATGCGAGGATGAAGCATATCGAGATTGATTTTCAGTTTATTCGTGACTGTCTGAAGAATCGCGTCCTCCAGCTAGCTCACATACATTCTCAAGATCAGCTTGCTGATTTATTCACCAAGTCTCTATCTATTCCTCGTTTTGTTGCTCTTAGAAACAAGCTAACCATCTCGAAATCTCCTGTTAGCTTGTGGGGCGGTGATAAGCTAGCTAAAAAGTAAAGAGCTGATAAGCATGCCGCCTAAATAAGCTCTTTCTCTTATATGCAGGTAATGCAATGCCCACTCGTTTGCGGCATCAGGAACAGTGTGAGAGCACTCATGCTTAACCGTTAATCACTAATGGCTTGCATCATGACCGTTGTTGTCATGGTCATCTTCTCCGCTTGAGTTAATATAAATGAATGTATTAGCTACCGTTCAAGGCAATGAATAAATGAGCTCTTAGCATATACTGTTCTATCATCTTGCTTCTTCTTCTATACTCTGTTTCTCTGTTCACTGTTCTTTTGCAGGTTACAGATAAGAAGGAAGTTATTTAAATCATCCAGAGAATACGCAAGAGTTTTTTAGTGATTCAGTTGAATCAACTGCGCTCACTAAAAGGTATATGTTGCAAAATTCCACTGTTATATAAGAAGTGTATGAAAGGATTTCCACTAAGACTAGCGTGTCGAGTTTTGAGAAGCTAAGGGAGTAAAATATAAGAGAAATTATAATAGGAAGATATATAAGAAGAGTAAATGTTGGTAAGATAATGAATTCATAAGAGAAGAAAGAAGTACGGGGGCTTGATTAGTTATAAAAATTAGTTAGAAGTATTACATATATGTCCTTATGGTCATCTTACTTCCTATTTTCTATTTTATATGCTCATGTTTTGAGGAGTTATGTTGTCAAAAGGTTCACTTGCCGGGCTAGAAAGTCGGCATTTCTAGGTGTCAATATCTTTTGATTTTATTTCTAGATAGGATTGTTTTTTGGGGGGAGTTTAATAGTTTCTTCATCGATACATGCATGAACGCCAATGTTGATGATCGGTTAAGCACAACTATGCTAAAGTTATGCTAATTCAATTAAATCGATTATATAATATTATTAAAAGAGGTGTAACGTCCAAAGCAATGTTTGGACATATTATTAATATTGTATATGCATATATTTAGAAATCATTGAAGATCATGGACATTTTGTGCTTTTTTTTTCAAAAAAAAAAACAAACGGATACAACAGCTGATAATAGGGAAGCAAAGGAAAAAATAACAAACAGAATTATAGGCGTAAAAAAGCTCAGGAGACGACCGAGGCTCCCAGCGACCCAGTCGCCTCGCACGGAACGTCCAATGAAAGGTTACCACAAGCAAAACGACCAGGCCGCGAGCCCCGACCACATCATTGCTTATCGCCCATCTAATCCACGTAACAGCCGACCAATAAAACAAATAAATCCCGCCGAGCGATGAAAAGCACGAATAACAAGAAAAATCAACGTCGTCGACGGCCTCTCCCCTAAAATTTCCCCCGGCTTTGAGCATTTACATCAATAGCCGGCCGGCACAAACCCTTAGCGTGCCCGATACATTTGCACACATAACGAAAATTAGGAAACTCATCTAAAATGACATCATGAACATAGCCCAAAGAATCAGAACCAAGCCAAACTTGTTTAGGATAGGTTTTGGTGATATCAAGCTCAACTAAAACACGGGCATTTGACGGACGAGAACCCACCGCAGTAGCTTAATCAATTTTTAAAGGTTTACCAAAGATCTTAGCTAGACCAAAAAGAATACGTGGAGAAAAAAAATGTGGGCGAAGGCGAGGAAACGAAATCCAAATCGGAATAATCGGCGATTCCACGCCAATATCAAGAGTCGGAGACCATTTAGTTAACTTCATGTAACAGTTGTAAGCAAGGTAAGAGCGATGACAAAACACCCTGCAATAATCAAGATCGTTTGCTAACTTGATAAGGATGTGAGTTTGATTTAACACAGTCACAGAAACTTCACCAATAAGCTTTAGGTTGAAAAAAAAATTTCGTATAGATTCCAAAGGTCTCTTAGAAGGAAAAAAAACCGACTAAAGAAAATTGGAACATAATGGCAAGATCAAAAATCTCAAGATCCGAAACCCACAAAGAAGGTAATCCACGATGAGTAGAAAGCCTAAGATCCGGAAAAACCGGTTTCGTGCCATCAAGAGCCTCACGGAAAGAACGTGCATGAGCAACCCCACCAAAAAAACCAGGGTCCTTAAGCTTGGAAGAAGGCATGCCGGAAAGACCGGCAAAAACCAACGAAAAACCACACCAGAAAACTCCAGAAAAAATAAGCAAAAGCCTCGTGAAAACTTCCCTGAACAACGAAGATCGCCGGCGAGAAAATCCCCCCCGAGGGCCGGGGAGACGGCGGAGTCAAAAAACCCCCAAAGCCATAACCCTAACAGAGCGAAAAAGTGAGAGAAGCTCCCTCTTGACTAATATCTTTGTTTTTTGGACATTTTGTGCTTATTCAACTTCGAAAATATAGAAAAACAAGTAAAAGTTTTTTAGAATGAATCATATACTCTTTAAATTTAAATCCTACACTTCATTAATATCATAACAAATTATTGATAATTCAAGTATCTTTTTCATCGTCATAGAAATCGTAAGGCATATTTTTTGCACTGTTGCAGTTTTTTTATAAAAGTGATTATAAAATTATTGTGCTAAAAATAACTTTTTTAAATTTAGCGTAGAAAGCTATTCCATTTCCATTGTATAAAAATTAGTAAAAAAAAAGTGGATAAATAAAAATTGTGGTTGCATTCTGAGAAATAAATTAGTAAAAAAGTAGTATCAAATGAATCCTAAATTAAATAAGAATAAGTATTACTCTGATAAATAAAGTTATATAATTGAAGCGTGATATATGTTCGAGAAATTTATAAGAGCTGCTAAAACAATTAAATATATCAAATTTATTTAAGAAATATATATAACCATCTTCTATAAGTATTTATGGATTTGACTTACAAACAAATTTCAGGCTAAGCCCTGTTTGGGCCCAACTTCTGCAACGAAAAGCCCACAAACCTTAAGGAGAACACCGCTTATTTTTAGGGCCGAAGCGAAGCATAGAAGGAGGTTATTTAAATTTAATTAAAATCTAGATAAAATATATTTTTTATCTACAAGACGATAATTTTTGTTTCATAATCAGTACAATTTAGAAACTTATTTTTCTAAATAATAATAAGAAAATCTTACAAATAGAAAAAAAGTTATCTGATAACTAAAAAAATACCTTATAAAATATGTTATAAGAGCTACTTTTTTAAGTTATTAGTGAAAGAGTTATATTTTGATTATGCATTCTTTCGGTGTTGTGAACTTTGATCAAATTTGTCTTCTTAATCCTTTTTATTGTTGGAGTTTTTAGAGAACTATTGATAGTATGTATTGATAGTTTTATCAACAATAATTTAATAAAATCTTATAAGAGGTCAATAATTTAATAAAAACAACTATTGATATCGTCAAGCAATGGTGGAGTGAGGAAGGGGCCAGCGGGGGCACGTGCCCCCTCTTAAAAAAAAAATTATTGTTCGCGGATTGGAGGGCTTGGGCGGTGCGAATTATGAAAGCTTAATACATATTCTGCTATTAAGCTTCCTTCACCAATTCATATTAAAAAAAAAATGGAAATTGTCGAGCAAATATCTCGTGAGACTCATACCCTAGTCCGCCTTGCTTCGTCGTAGAATCTCTTCTCCGCATAGAACCACCCGGTGCCGTGGTGCGTCGGCCATCCGCCAGTGCGTCCACCCTTGCTTTCCGAAGCCCGAATGAAAAAAGTTGAGGGAATATTTTAAAAAAATTATAGAATCCTAACCAAAACAACATAAAATCACAACAAATGATAACTTGCTTATCTCTAGTTTTGCTGCTTCTCCACCCTCTGTAGCATAACTCTCATCCAGCTCGCTCTTATGAGAATATTCCTAACCAAAACATCCTCACGGCTCTTGCCACTCCTTTTACAGATGACCCTATGAACCCGAAGTTACCCAATAATAAAACTAATATCCCATCCACCTCTACTTCTCACAAATTGAGGTTTCCTCTCTTGACATGTTGGGCTAACTCAAAAAACTTATAGCAGTGAATACCCAATTCACTACCAAAGCCAATATAATCAATGAAGGGGCCAAATCAGCTCCCCCCACCCCCTCTTCACCTCTACATCTCATCAAATTGAGGTTTGCTCTCTTGACATGTTGGGCTAACTCCAAAAACTTATAGCAATGAATACCCAATTCACTACCAAAGTTAATATAGTCAATGAAGGGGCCAAATCAGCTCCCCCCAACCCAAAAAAAAGTCTAAAGAATAAATGATGAATTTTGAATATTGCCACTTGAATGTGAGAGGCTTTCATGGTCTTGTTGGGTCATTGCTTGCAAAGACCGTATTAGATCTTTCAATATCGATCTTTTTTTTTTTACATTTTAGAAGCTAAGATCATTGTTTCTAAAGCTTTTTTATCATTGGTTCTTCTCCTCACACACCATCTTCCCCAATGAAGGTAGCTGTCAAAACTTCTCTCTTTCTCAACCTCGCAGAATTTGGATTAAATGGCATCGTGTAAAGTTATCTTTCATCCCATCTCATTTGGATTCTCAATTAATTTATGGTGTAGTTTTTATTGAAGTTAGAATGAAGTTTTATTTGTTTGTGGTTTATGCTACAAATATTTTTTGTGGATAAAGCTCACTTATGGCAGGACCTTACTTTCATTGGTTCTTATATTATTGATGATGCTCCGTTAGCTATTTATGAGTTGTTTTAGTTATTGTTGAAATCACCATGAGAAGTGTGGTGGCCTTCAAATCCTTGCCTCCAAATTTTGGGATTTTAACAATATGATTTTTAATAATGGGATTAGAGACCTTGTTTTTGTTGGGCTAGAATTTACTTAGTTCAATAATAGGCAAGGCTCTCTGATTTTGATTAAAATAGATAAATTTTTTTGGTAAATGAGGCTTGGTTGAATTGTTTTCCTACTTCTTGCTATAAAGTTGATAGCCGAAAGTGTTGTCCTGTCACAACCCGGCCCAATATGACCCGATATCATACAGGTCATATCGTACATGTTTGTGACAAAACTTACCCCAATATAGGGTTAAAGAAGTCCTGAAATAAAACTTCTAGTTTATATACTACATAGAGTTACAAT